CCGGCGCCACAGGCCCCGCCCCCGGCCGGCCGCGCCGCGCACGGCTCCCGCGAGTACACGTGTAACGCCGCCGACGCAGTTCAGCCGGCCTTCCGAGCCACGCCCGGCCCCTGGTGGAAGTGGGCCGCCCGGAGCCCTGCGGGCTGGGCGCATCCTCGGACGCCCGCCGAAGCGTGCCGGGGTTGGGGCGTCGGCTGGAGGGCGGGTGGGCTCTGGAGCCGGCCCCCGTTCCCGGCCCTCTTCGCCGCTCTGGGTGTGCGCGGTTCCTCCGACTTCGAGACGGGGACATCCTCGGAGACCTGGTTCTCCTGGGACGCGACGGCTAGAGGGCGCCGGTGCCGGCCGCGCCGCTTCCAGCTTCGGGACCCGTTCCGCGCGCCGAGGCAGCCTCGGTACCCTTGCATTCGCAGAAGTACCGCCTTTCCCGTGCGGTTCGTAAAGTCGCAAAGCACTCGCGAAACGAACAGATCATCCCTGAGTTCTCTCACCTTTGATCCTGTTACAGACTCATTCGGCAAGCATCTGTCTATGGACCAGGGGATGGATGCAGAGCTGTCAGGTATTAAATCCTTCCTCCCATTTGTGTCCATAAAGACACATTAAAAAAAAACAAAAAAAGTTTAGATTCAAAACAGGAGAGACAAAGTTGTTAGGTAGATGATCCCAGAACCCTCTCTTCAGACTTTCAGTATTTGAAAGTTGGTCAATGCCACTGTCATTTACAATCTCATTTTTTTATCTTCATCTGAGATTGCAGTCTCTTTATCCCAAAGAAAAATCGCAGGATCTTTTTTTTGGGGGGCGGGGGACGGGGGATTTGAACTCAGGCCCTTGAGCTTGCCAGGCAAGTGCTTATTCTACTGAGCCATCTCCCCGGCCCTCAGGATCCTTAATAAGGCCTTAGTTTGGGTTGAGTTGATCTAGTTCTTCAGGTGCCCTGCCCCTGCCGTCCACCCTCCCATCCGTCCTTCTACTGATTCATGCATTCCCCCACTTGTCCTGAAAGCTAATAGAAATATAGATGAGACACGGAATCCTTCTTTCAGAAGCTCAACGTAAAGTAGGAGGGTAGGGCCCTCATTCTGTTTAACCAGCGTTCCCCCTTGTCTTCGGGTGTTGTGCTTTGCCATCTCTCTGTCGCCAAGGCTCCCTCTTGGTCAGGTCCTCGCCTCCTTAGCGTATCCACCCGCTCTGGTTTCCTTCCTTCCATGCTGCTGCAGCTGCAGTCGCCTCACTGTGCAAATCTGGTAGTTTCTTCTTTGATCTGTTTTTATTTTGCTTGTCCTCTCAGTACTATTCATCACAGTCAGCCACTTCCACTTGGAAACACTTTCTTGTTCGCTGGCAACGCACACTCTTGCTCCACCTCCTTCACTCTTAGGCTGTTTTACCGGCCTGTATGCTCAGTTCAACATATAGATATAAGTTCCCAGGATTCTACCCTTTAGTATCCACCCACTCTTCCTATATGACCTCCTCTCTCCTATATTCAGACACCAATTACATGCAGATGACTCTGGAGTTTATCTTACTTGGGATGCCCTCTCCCTGTAATTCCTAAATCTTCCAAATAAATGCTTAACGTTTTTTTTCGGGGGGGGGGCGTGAGAGAGAGAGAGCTCAGTAGAATAAGTGCTTGCCTGGTAAGCACAGGGTCCTGAGTTCAATCCCCAGTACTGAAAAAAAAATTTTTTTTCTTTTTAAAAAAATATTTACTTATTTATTTGGTACAGGGTTTTGCTACACAGCTCGGACTCCTAGTTGATCCTCCTGTCTCAGCCTCCCTGAGGCTGGGATTACAGGCATGTGCCTCCACGCCTAGGTTTGGGGCCTGCCAGTGCAGCATTCAGTACTGGGGATCAAACCCCAGTCCTTGCATTTGCCAGGCAAGTGCTTAGACTGCTGTGCTATCTCCCCAGCCCAGCCTGACATTTCAACATGTCTAACTGACACCTCACATTTAACATGGCTCCTAAAATTGTAAATGTCATTTTGTCCATTTTACTAAGATAGTCAATTTTACTAAATGTCACTATTATTCAGTTGTTTGAGCTAAAATTCTAAGTGCTCTTCTTGATTTCTTGTATTCTCTGACTTTTTATTTGTGTTTGTTCGCTTTTATATGTGAGGGTGGCTTGTCTTGTTTTACGAGACAGTCTCACTATGCAGTTCAGGCTGGCCTTGAGCTCACTGTGCGGCCCAGGCTGGTCTTGCATTTGCAGTAATATTCCTGCCATAGCTTTCAGGATGCTGGGAGTACAGGTGTGCACTACCATGCGTGGCTTCCTTACCTTTATAACTAATCAGCAAATGCTTCTGACACTACTAAGATCCTGGCCACCGCATGCTGCAATGGCCCCGTCCATAAGCTAGCTAAGCCGGCCACCAAGTCTGGCTGTGGCAGCACAAGCTTGTAATCCCAGCGCTGGGGAGGCTAAAACAGGAGGAGCACTACGAGTCCGAGCCGCGTAGTGAGACCCTGTACCAAATATATAAATTTTTAATAAATAAATACAATAAAAATATACCTTGGCCAGGTGTAGTGGTGCACACTTGTAGTACCAGCACCTGGGAGGCTGAGCTGGGCAGATTGCCACAGTTGAGAGGTGCTTGCATCACACGGACCCTGAACTCACCAGTGGATCCATGTGGATGAGGTCAGCAGCTGACTGTGCTATGAGGAGGAGGAGCCTATCCAGAGGTGGGCCATAGGGCATGACCCAGAAGCTGTGTTCTTATGCCTGGCTCCTCCCTTTCTGCTCTCTGGCTGCCTGGCTTGAATAGCTTGCCTTTGCCACTGGCCCTTCCACCATGCCATTTCTGCCTCTACCACAGGCCCTTCCACCACGCCATTTCTGCCACGGAGCTGGCCAGCCAAGGGCTGAACCCTCTAAAACCGTGAGCCAAAATAGACTTCTCCGCCTCTGAGTTGTAGGTGTTAGGTATTTTGTCCCAGCACCAGAAAAGTGACTAATATGGCTTCCCACAGGCCTCTCTGCTTCCTTTCTTGCCCTGATCTAGTCCATGAGAAGCCACCCTTAAGTCATTTATGGCAAGGTGTTCTGTACCTTGTAGCTGCAGTTATTCCTAAGAAAATAACTTGGTATTAAAAAAACACAGAAATGTGTTACTGGCCAACAGGAGGTGAAGGTGGGGAGTCGTGATGACTAGTCCAGCCCAGAAAGCTGGTGAGTCTTGTTAGACTCTCACAAAGGGTCGAGAGACTGTTGCTTACTGGACCTTGGATACAAACTACTTGTTAATCCAAGCTGTATATTTTAGGAGAAATCTCAGGAACTATTTAGAACATTAGTTCTGTAGAACTCTGAAGGGGCTTTTTAGTAGCTTTCAGCAAACTTCTTCAAAAGAATGGTGAACCTAGATTAGGAATAACTGATTTGAAAACACAAATCACAGATTTGATAAAAGAGGACCTCTTGGGACAAGATGTAGCTCAGCATGGCAGCACCTGCCTGGCAAGCACAAGGACCTGAGCTTGATTCTTGGTACTAAAAAAGAAAGAGGTGGGGAAGGGTCTCTTTATGTGAAGCCTACAATCTACACTGGCCAAGCTTGAAGCCGTAAACTTGGAACTGTAGGTGGGAATGACCAGTTAACTTCTCATACCCAAGCCAAGCCAGCGTAAATGGAGAGGGAGGAGCAATAGTGTGATCAGGGGACAAGACTGAGGCGACGGGTTGCGACATGGGTTGTAGGTGACATCTCTTCAGCTGTCCTGCATAGCTTCAGAACAATGGTGGCAAGAACAGGAGTGAGTGTAGGACTTCAGTGTGTACATTTTGGTGTTGTTTTGATTTCTAAAAGCTATATGAATATATTGCTTAATTGAAAGAAATAAATTGAAACTATATTTATTTATTTATTTATTTTTATTTTTTTGGCGGAACTGGGGATTCAACTCAGGCCCTTGTGTTTGCCAGGGAAGCACTTATTCTACCGCGCCATCTCCCCAGCCCCCCGAAACTATTTATGAAAAAGCAATTTTAAAAGCTGAGCATGGTGGCACATACCTGTGGTCCCAGCACTTGGGAGGCTGAAGCAGGAGGATCACCACAATTTTGAGGCCAGCCTAAGCTACATAGTGAGTTCAAAGTCAGCCTGAACTATGTAAGCAAGACCCTGTCTCAAAAATAAATAAAA